TTATGCAAATACCTCCCAACTTAATTTTTTTTCTTCACTTTTTTCCCCAAAATACATTTTTTATGCAAATACCTCCCAACCAAATAAAAAATAAAAAATGCCTAAATAATCCTCTCTTACTTTTTTACCTTACTTGCGCCTCTTTCTCCTCTATCCCACCAAAATAAGAGCTTCGGTACTATGTAAGTGTGGTCCGGCAGTAGGGCTCCAGCACGGTGTAAAGTGCAGTCCGGCAGTAGGGCTCCGGTACTGTGTAAAGTGCGGTCCGGCAGTTGCAAAGGGTGCGGTCCGACAGTTGCAAAGGGTGGTCTGGTAGTAGATGTTACTGGATTCCAGGGCTCCGACATTATGTAAAGGGTGGTCCGGCATACTCAATTTTGGTCTGATAGTTGCATAGTTGCCTTAGGGCGGTGTGACACTTGTGCGCTCCGACAATGTGCTACTGGGGTCCAAAAGTCAACATCAAATCTGGCCAAGATGAATTTTGTGTATAATGCAGGTATTTCTGTCTAAAAAAATAAACTTTTTCCCTTGGGGGATATTTGCATAGAAAGTTTGTTTTGGAGAAACGATTCAGTTGGGGATAAGTTCAATAGAAAGTGTGATCTTGGGAAATTTTTTGTAATTTTCCCTTAAAATTACTTGGACCTCACCTTTTCAAAAGGTGGGCTCAAACAACCTCTGCTAGTCAAACTTTTTAGGTGGGCTCTAATTTGATTGTTTAGAGCCTCGCTCTATATAAATTTTTTCGTTTCCAGAAACTAGTTTCAAAGAATGCTAAAGTAGCAGACGTGGCAGAAGGCACAGGAAACAGAATAAAGTAGAGGATCAATTGCAGGCACAATAGACAACTTTAAGTAGTACTAAATGAATATATGGAGTCTAAAGCAGCTGGAAACCCATTACCCTTGCCCGAGCAATATGAGACTTTGAAGCCAATGGGAAATTTAGTTTAAAATCAATATATGTCGAGGTGTAATGACAAAATGAGAGTGATGAAAGTCTCTCAAGGGCATGGAAACTTCCTGTGCCATTTAAAATGCAATGCTTCATATTGATTTTGGTTTTAGGAGGATTATTAACAATAGATATCCTACAAGACATGGTAAAAGACCTACCAATATATGTAGCTTGTGCAAAAATGATGGGAAAACAGGGGATCACATACTCTACAGTGTGAATACAGTAGAAAAGTATGGGAGTGGATGTTGCAGGAAATGGATCTCCAAATGCGTTTGTGCACACACTATTATGCAAATGAGAGTGGGTAATGCATCCAAGATAGCTTGTATTTTGTGGATGATAATGAAGCAGTGTTTCTAGAATCGGTCGAGGTGACTCGGACTTGGCCGAGTTACTCCGCCTCGGCCTAAGGGCTTCTGTACGTAAAGAATTTTGGGGGGTTTAGAGATATCAGTTGATGTATAATATTAAAGACATTTTGAGTATGAAGGGAACTAAAAAAGATACAAGTGGGAATATGGGAACCACCAAGAGAAGGGCTCAACCTACTAAATTTTGATGGGAGCTCTTTTGAGAATAAAGGAAGGGATCAACAAATTAAATTTTGATGGGAGCTCTTTCGAGAACACAGGTAGAGCAAGGGTGGAAGGCATTATACGATATCACAGAGGAAAATTTTTGATGAAATTTTGTAGACATACTAGAATACTAATTGCCAATGAATCATAATTGAGAGATTTGAGGCAAGTATTGAAGATTGCTAGAGCCGAAGATCATTGCGGAAGGAGACTCGATGAATGATAATATCGAGTAAAAGAGAGGTAGAGGTACCATGGGCTCTCGAGTTGATATGAAGAGAAATTCAAGATATGGGTAGGGATTCAAGATAATTTTCAAGCATGTATATAGGGAATAAGGAGGCAGATCTTTTGGCAAAAAGAGGAGTGCACAGCATGAATGTAATTAGTGAGTGAAATTTTGTGTGTGATATGTTTTGAGTGTATGTATTTGTAAATTTGAAATGAGATATTATTTTGTAGGAAGATATGAACCAGTGGGGCTATATTTTTTAGGACTCACAAATTCTCCAACACATCATTGTAGATTCATGTTGGGATCATTTAATAATTCTACAAAAAAAATATTAAAGCTTGAGCTGTTAAAATTGTAGACTCCAACAAATTGATTGTATTTGGGCTTCTGTCAATGCCATAGAGAAGGACAGAGTTTGGACCTTTATCTAGAGCTCGAGTTTATGCAATGTCTATGAGAGAGAGCCCTGTGTGGTACACAATTTAAATATAAGGTGCCGTGTTCTTGTCTTTCTTATTTATGGCGGGTGCAGCCTCCGTCTAATCACCGGCATGTAGACCAGATGAGGCTCTGGGATGCCTTTGTTTTGCTATTTCTTTTGGAATAGTTATGCAGTAGGATTCGAACTTCGGAATAATTGCAACATGGGTAATGGTAGTGTGTTCTGGCGGAGCCAACAGAACTGGTGGTCCGCCAAACGGGAAAACCAGATTTGGGGAGTGGTGGAGAACAAATATTTTCAGAAAACTTTCTCCGACCAAAACATATTCATGAAAAGAAATGGATTTCGAGCCCCATGAATGCCTCTCTACAATGACTCTAATATCAGTTATTGACCATCCATTTCAGCGGACTATAGATCAAGTTGAATTGAATGTTATTGGAGCACCAAAGTAAGTCAAAGTTAAACAGGGACATTTGATAAGTTTTTTGAAGCCTCTGTTCAAAAATGTGATTTTCCTTAATAAATACGACTGTTTTTTTTTCCTCTGATTTATCAAGAATCTCTTTCCTAAAAATTCTCTCTTAATTGGTATACCTAATTATAATTGTTATATCTAATTATAAGTTTTCTTTAAAAAAACTCATATGTACTACCACTTTGGAAAATTCTCTTATTTGTTATTTAAATTTATTCTAACAAACTAAATAACTAAAAATAAATAGGAAAATAAATCTACAAATAAGTAAATTCTAGAAGGAAGATTTTATATTTTATCCAATTAAATAAGCTCCACCAAGACTATCAAGGTCAAATAGGAAACCCAATCATAGGTATCCCTATCAAAAGCGTTACCTTAGAATTTGCACAAAATATAGTGTCGATTTCAACATTCATTTAAAAAAGTGTGAAACAGTTGGAATCTAAACCGTAAAGTTAAGTGTAAGAAATTGAAGAAAATTAGATGAAAATTCAATAGTTATAAAAGAAATGTTGAATTGCTCAAAAAATAAATAAATAAGTAATATATAAATAAAAAAATTATATTTGTTGTCATCAAAATATAGAAAAAATTATAGCCATCAGCTAGTCTATAGATTTGAGTACTACTTCTAGAAAACTATACGAAAATCAGTCATACTATCTCATATGTATCAAAAACGGCCTTACCCATCAATTACACCAAAGTCGGCAAATTATATCGTATCAATTAAAAGGTCAAATTACCTTACAAAATCATCAAAGGTATTAAAAAAGAGTGCCAAAATCTTTAAAAGTGTCAAAACATCGTAGTTAACATTAAGAGTATTATGTAACATTAGGAGTGTTGCTTTTTAAGTTTCATTTCATTCAAATTAACTCTTAAAGTACCGTACAAAATAATCAAATTGCCCTTGTTCAATATTGTAACCTAAACAAGCTGAGACATTTTAATAATTTAGTCCAACTTAAGTGGCACAAGCCAGAAGATAAAAATACCCGTTTGTCCCAGTTAGCAACAAGAATCTCCAAAGTAACAAAACTACCCTTAAATTGTTTAAGGTCAGCGACAAAGTCACTTCTTTTCATCGATTTGCTAACCCAAAACAAATAGGGATATTTTTGTCATTTCTTGGGTGGGCAATTTGATTCTTTTTTACTATATATATTTAAGGAGTTCATGTGTGAAAGCAACCCTCCTGATGATAAATTTGCCACCTTTAAGAATTTCATAACATGGTTTGATCCTTTAATTGATATTTTCCCTTTATGCAAAGGTTCTGCACATATCAAACAATTATGTATAGAAAGTTAGCACCATGTCAGGGTCCTCACAAATTATGGGCATCAGCTATTACACTTGTCCAAGCCATTGGATTTTCAACCTGAATTTTACAGCTGCATGAGAAGATCTTGGATTAAAACTACCAGAAATTCCATCCAGCATTCACGTATATCAAACCCTTCACAACTTTATTTTGAAGTTATAAACCTTCTAAAGATGTTTCTTACTCCAATTTAATGAATGCCAAAAAAAATTTGTTGTATTTCTACAGAAACCAACTTAAAACTGATGGAAAAGATGCTTTCATGGACGAAGTGGTCAATGTTACTTTTTAGACCTCAAATCCTGATTCATCCTGAAAGAAATGAATTTGTGCTCCGAATACACTAGATCTTATCATCCAACAAACGATGAGCTAAAGTCAAGATTAGAGCAGTAATTGATCTGAAGCAGTTTCTAAGCTCCAAGTCAATTTTTTTTAGACTAATCTCAGAGATGAATAAACATTGTTTTGAGAGTTTTGGGGCCATTCTAATCCCCTAACATGGTTTTTCTAGGGAAAAGTTTGAGGGTGAGGGCCTAAACAATCAAATTAAGACGCACCTCAAAAATTCACCAAAAGAGATTATTTTGATGCACAAAAATCCTCAAACCAATCATCTGAACCTCAAGATATATGGACATGATAAAAAAGGATTTCAAGTCTTGGAGATAGTGCATCTTGTACTGCATTTTTTGAACCATCAATTTTTAAGACTTTCAAATGTTCATAGATCTACTCGATCTATATACTAATTTTGAAACTTTAAATTTAATAATTAGAGATAAAATTGAATTTTAAGGACGTCACTAAAGATTTCCAGTACTGAAACAATATCTTTCGATATTTGAAGGTGCTTTGATTGTTTAGGGCCTCAGCCTTATAAAAACCACACCCTTATAGAGTGGTGAATGTGCACAGTATTGACCACATGGTCCACAAGAAGATTTCCCTCATTTTAGAGTAGAGCAGGCAAACAATACTCACAAGGACGACTGATTTTTTATTCAAAATATAGAAATATTTTCAAAATACATGGAAAAATACAACAGTGCCCATGACTTTTTGAGCATACTATACAAATCATAGATAATATATAAATTACCAAACGTTCATCTGTACAGAGGCTCACCTCATCATCTCATTGCCTTATCCAAACTATTTGGGGTTGGTGTACAAAGGCTCTCGTGCTTCCACGAAATAACGCACTGAAGAGCAGGAAAGTCCCACCAAATGGTGTGGGAAACAATAGTTATATCTTTGTATCCCCTTCATGCAGGGTTATCTGTGGAATCAATCAGAAAAAAATTCAGTGCCACTGGGAATATTCCACATAAAGCAGGCAGTTTTGCAATATCTTTTGATAGATACTCAGACAAATGTGATACAAAGGTTCGAGCACTGCCCAGGAACGGTATGCAGAAAGGCTAAATTTTTCTGTTTTCAAAATGGGTCTGCCAAATCTTGGATGTTGAACCAGAAGAGCAGTAAAAAATTGGATGTTTATGTGTACTCAAATTTCAATAGGGGCGCATCACGTGAAAGATAATAACAGTGAAAAAAGTTTTGTTCCCAATTACTTGTCAATATTGGCTGGAATTAAGATCGAGTTTCCAGCCATGTCAGTTAAACCCAAGGTCTTGCAAACATCTATTGATGCCAACTACTGTCAGCCAAAACTGAAACTATGACTTTTGTAACTAAGGTCCCATCGAACAATTCCAACATAGGAGTTATTCATAAATTGGGGAACATGTTAGTTTTTCTTTTGTAGTGTCATGGACATCTAGGCGCTGCTCTTTTGACAAGCAGGGTCATAGTTACCACGATTAGGATCTAATCAGATCCAGGATAGCGATTGGGATTGCAAGATCATGACAAGCCGGAACCGTCCTATGGGGTAAGGATTGTGACCTGCACACCCTAGAGATCTCCATCCCAATATGTGGGGGAGCTCGATCCAAGCTTATTCGGGATCGGATGATAATTATACATGATCAAGCTCCTTCTAGTTAAAAATCGAGGCCAAAGAGAGCACTTAACTAGTATTAGCTATGTACCGCTATACTATGCCACACAAGACACCGCTATACTCTCTCTCTGTCTTTCTCTCTCTCTCTCT